CCGAAGTCGTCGTGCCAGATCTCGAAACAGGTCTTGGCGACGCCCTTGTACTCGTGGCGGATCTTGTTGCACAACCAGCGTTTTGCGGCGTCAATGGAACAGCGCTTACAGTAGTAAGTCGTCGCAAAAGAGTTTTTCTTTTCGGTTCGCAGAAGCGCACAGACCTTGCACGACCGTTGGTGGCGCTTCTGAACGCCACTGACGGTAACCCAGTCTTCGGACTGCTGGAGTCCGTGTGTCAGGCGGACTGGTGTTCGCCTACGTTTCTGGCTGGACCGAGGTGGCGTAGCTTGAACACCCGCAAAGCCCTCGGTTTTGAGTTGCAGGAGCTGGCTCTGAAGGACCGCAAACCACTCGGAGCGTTTCATAGCGACTGCTCCCTTGATTTTGGCCGCCTCTTTGTGGGTCAGGTAAGCATTTACTAGGGCCAGGTCCAGAAACCCCAAGAACAACCCCTTGTAGTACTTAGTGAGCCGCGTGGGCATTTGGAGGGAGTAACTCTGGAGACGGAGCTGATCATGGCGATCAACTCCGCTCATCCAGTTCTGGTAGTCCTTTACAGACTGAGGGCACCCCACTTGAATCGCGCCCACGCGCTTTACCTTCCTCTTGATAGTGGTCGGCGTCATGGCAGAGCCCGTGCAAAGGTAGTAGACTGGCCTTCCGGTCCCACCAGAGGCATGATATCATGGTAAGGACCGCGACAGAGCGCGAGAAGACAAATGAGCCACGCGGGATGCTTGATGGGCGGGTCTTGCTCACTGACGTGGTGCTCCTGTCGAATCCCAAGCGGTTCGTCATGATTGTCCCAACCACATAAACGTTCATCTTCAGCAGCTCGACAGCGAGGAGAATGGAGGAGTAATATTTGTCAGATGACAGCATGCCAGTTGTGTCGCGATTGAGGAGTGAGCGCCAGCTTCAGATTCCGTAAAACGGCTGCTGCTCCAGTCTTGTAATTAATTCCGGTATCACCCCCATCTACATTCTTACACTTTCCCACATAAATTTTAAATCTACATCAGTTACGACATCAGAAATGTTAGCATCCGCTCTAACCGGTAGGTTACGACATAGCAAAAAAGCTAAAAAAAAACTGTGACAGTACGCGGTCTTTGCGTCACACAACTTAAATAGCTTGGAGCCGTATCGATGCAGCTTGTCCTTCATAAACATTCGAGTGGTGTTGCATTTCGACGTGGCAGGAAGCACGCCTTCATGAAATGAAAATATGGCGGGTAGAGTCCACCCTGCCACGAAGCGTTCTTGGATCTTGTCCACGACAGGACGCAGTTTCCATAGTTTATCGCGGCCGTGCTCAGCAGTGTTGTCCACGAAGTGAAGGTCACGTAGGATGTTTTGGCAGCGGTCACGCGTCATGTACCGCCT